TAAATTAATCATGCGGCTGCCAATATAATTATATAATAGCTTGCATACCAACACTTTAAAAAAGGGGCAGATAAAAATAGTCAAAACAACAGTTGGAACAACACTACAACAACAAAAAAAAAGTCATTAATTCGGCAACATTTCCCAAATGTAACTTACTTGATAACAAGATTTAAGCTTGTGTCGAATAACAACAGCGATCTAATGAAATCCAAGAGATGGATGAACAACAAAGATAATAAGGTTGAGTTTTAAATTGTAATTATTCATTTCTTTCCAGCATGATCAACATTATTATCATTGTAATTTGCAGAGGCGCGGGAAAACACAAAAGACTAGAGGCTAGATTGCTTGTTTTATTTTTTGGGGGGGTCACCGAGGTTATCGTTTTGTTGATGACCCCATCCTTTTTGAGAATTATTTCAATTCACCCATTCACTCCCAAAGACATATTTATATGTTTTTTCAGATTACACACATTCAATCCCAGGTACTCATTTATATCTACATTTTTCAATTTTTTTTTTTCAAGAGGATCTGAAAATGGCTGACACTGAATGAGTTAAGAGAGCATTTAGCCTTCACCCAGTCCCAAAGGGTCGAATCACTCCTCTTTAATGCCGCAATCTCTTTGCAAACACATACAGTCTCAAAATGCTGAAAAATAAATCAAAAATGCTGTTCCGGCTTTTTGATGATGTTAAATAAAATGAGCTGAGTTTTTGTGATTTATGCCTTTTCAGCCTGCGAAAAGAAACGACGAGAGAAAAGAACACAAACGTTAACGGTGTGAAATGTTGAGCGCTTGAGGTTTACTGTCACCTGAGGGAAGCTATTTTTAATTTGCCAACAAAAGCATTGTTTTTTTTTGTACGCGTCTTCCTTTCTTCTTTTGTTTCCAGAGCAGTCAGAGCCCCAGGAAGTGAGCCCTCGATTTGCATGACAGGCATTGGTAGATCAGGTACGCAACTGTATCGACGGCAGGCCGGCAGCACTCTTTGTGTTTGTTCTCGTCATATGGAAAGGATTTGCAAGACTTTGCAATAGTGCCGTCGAGCAAATTTTCTTTGCGTTTTTTTTTTTTTCTAATTGGGGCTCGTGTCTAACTCAATCCACGTTATTTTTTATTTTATCATGTTTGCGTATTCATCACCTCATTAGTATACTGTGCATCTTTTTAATGGGACTTTCTTTTTAACAGTTTTAACTAGTTCAGCAAAACAGCTTTGTGTTCCAGTGAGAGGGATCGACGTATATTTTAAAATATTGATGTGTCTCCAGGACATTAAGAGGACCTGGTCATTTGTGTGCATGAGAAGAAATGATGGCCTTTTCTGTCAGACATTAAAAGCCAAGGAAATGACATCCATGTGTCCGCGGGGTATAATTTGGTTTCATTACTCAACATAAAACCTTTAATGGTTAATGATGCAGTATTAGCCTGAACAAAATGCATAAAGGAAGGAGTAAAAAAATAGCGGTTGTATTTACACACCTTACAAGATTATTATCTTGATCTAATTGGCTCTTTGTATATCGTTGTTGCATCCAGTACCGATGTTATGTTTTCATCGCCTAGTCTTAAATTATTTCTTTTCTGTCGTGAAGAGATCTCCACGAAATGTTTTACTGCTGTGTAGCATGAGATGAGGATTTTTGGTACATTCTCAGTGAATAAAACAATAACACAATACAGTCGAACCGCTTTTTAACAGTCGCCGTTTACGTTTCCACCCCCATAACGTTCAAATTTCAAAGTCCCGATTTGACGTTATTCATTTGCCATTTGCCGATTTTGCTTACAACGAACACTTGGATTATGTGAGCTTCAATATAACGGCCAGATTTTTCCCACAAAATAGTGAAAAGGCCTTCGATACAAGGAACCGTGAGAAGCTAATTGCCGCCGTGACCTCATTTATGAACAAAATGTACAGCACGGGATTCCCCTCCGTTGCTTAGCAACACTACTGATCGATTTGTACAGTGTTGTACTTAACGGAGGCGCGGCGCACATGGTCTGAAAACATGCCTGGTAAACGGAAGCAAATCTTGCCGTCTGTGAAGGCTGAAATTGTCATGTCTAACAAAATCATTTTTTTCTTCATACTGTATATGCGTATTTGTAATTGACGTTTTTATACTGTTTTACATGTTCCTGTTTTTACATCTATTAACGTATATACTATGTAGCTATAAAGTTCACAATTTGGTGCTCATCCAAATTTGATTCTTTTGCCTTGCCTGAGACTTAATGAGTGCCATTCCAATTATGCAAGTGGTTACTCTGCAAATGCATGTGGACCAACTTGGGTGTGATTAAATTCTCATTTGCATATCCAGTCAGATGTCAGATGTTCATGAAGTTAATATGGGTGAAACACACACATTCGTCATTGTCTAATAGTGCTTCCTTTTACAGTGCTACATTGTTTTACGAGTTGAATTTGTTACATGACCACACCTGTAACTCAATGTATTCATATATCAAATATATTTTTACCATTCACATCCAGTCAAATGTTATTAATTTGTTCCAGGCCTCTATAGAAAATGCATTTTTTGTGAGGTGGTTTTTTTTTGGGGGTGGGGGGGGGGGGGGGGGGGGAGTATTGTACTGTGATGTATTAAAACCAAAAGAAAATACATCAAAAAGAGAATGTAAAGAAATAGGCAGTTTGATCATGTGTTCTTACAGTGTGTAGTGTAGTATTTGTGAATTGGATGTGAGCCTTTGGCCTATTGCCTGACACAAAAGCAGAATGGCAAAGTGCATTCATTGAAATTATCAGCATGCTCCATACATTACGTTACAAAAGCGGAAAGGATCAATGAAGTGGGCCAAGGCCAAGCCAGGCTTTTACAAAATGAGCCTTTTTCTGAGCAGTCGGTGCATGGTGAATGGCCCTCCATTAGGTGACAATATTTTTCATTCTCAGCCTGCTTGGCTGCTCCCTTGACCTAAAAATTAAATCAGTTGCTGTTGTTTTTTTTTTCGCAACCTTTGAGAGAATCACAATCTAATTATGTGTGCCAAAGAGGCCTAATCTAACAGTAAGCGCATGATGAAGTTGGAGGACATTGATTTGTGCAATTCTGTTCTACAACGCGATGCAATCAAAGCCAACCGTATGTTTCTCCGGATATAATCGAGCTGCAATACGACAGCTTCCTCTTCAGCATATTCACCTAATGGCTGCCAAATGAAGCGTAGAGGGCCTTTGACGAAGCAGCAAAGCTATCTATATCTCCAATCATTTGTTTGCTCTTCATGCAATGAGAAGTGCTTTCAGTAACAGAGAAAACGCCGATTTCCCCCGAGGGGACCGTTTGATCCCGCTGGCCGTAAACGGGGCACAATCTCACAAAAAGCACAATAAAAGCCTTTAAAGTATAAAACAGCTGCTACAGATGTGCGCTCCAGTGACCGTGCATCTGCTCTGCCGAGGTTGTTTGGCTTTTTTTTTTCCCTTAGAGATGGCGGTTTTCGACTGCCTTCAATATCGCAAATCCGCCGATTTCTGAGAGCAGCCATGAGAGGAGGTAATTTCATCCATGTGTAAAGTGTAATATGCCAGTACATAGCTCGCAATTCAAGAATAATGCTGCATGTGCAACGGTGTTCAAAAGTGGCACGGCATCACCGACTGGTTACAAAATTAGGCGTGCCAACTCACTCTGCTGAGATCCAATACCAAAATCATGTGGGAATACTTCTCTGGTTTGTGTTGGCATTAGAGATAGCGGTATGTGAAATGTGATCTCTGATAGTGTTGTGATAGAGGGACAAAATCAAACATTTCAAGATACTGTGGTACCTCTACTAACGAAATTAATTTGTTCTGGAAGAAATTTCTTAACTAGAAAAGTTTGGAAGTCGAGATGCGTTTTCCATGTAAATGCCCTAATTCGTTCCAAGCCCCCCCCCAAAATTCAGACATAAATGTTTCCTAAAGCACAAAAATATATCAAAATATGGAACAAATAAAATGTGGTTCACATTTATGTAAAACTTTCGGAACGCCTCATGGCCCGAGGGTCAAATGACGAGGACGCTGCATAGACACACATCTATCTACACACATACTGTACACACATACGATTGAGGTCTCTCTTAGCCAATGGGATGCCAGGATGATGCTTGGGAATAGCCAATGGCAGAGCAGCTATAAGTATGTTGTGTTCAGGAAACTCGGAGCTGTGAGTACTGTAGTTTTTTTATCTTTCATGTCTTGAAATTTCTTTCATAACAAGGGGCAACATTTTCCCGTTGAGACGTTTCGTAACTTGAAAATTTCGTATGAAGAGACGTTCGTAAGTAGAGGTACCACTGTAGCTCTTCTAATGTGTCATTTCTAGTGACTCGATAAGTTTTACTCATCACATACTAATTCGGATGTTTTATATCATTGAATCTAAAACAAGTTTGTATTTCAAATTGCATTGGACGATTATGGACATTTTTTAAATTACTTCAAATGATCATGTTGAAAACTCATCTTTCATGGTTGATTTCCGAAATCAAAAATGAAAGTTTGGCACTGTCTTCATTTGTCAAGAACTACAAACTGTCAATGTTAGATTTGCCTCCACAAAACGTGTGTGTGTGTGTGTGTGTGTGTGTGTGTGTGTGTGTGTGTGTGTGTGTGTGTGTGTGTGTGTGTCTGTGCATGTGTGTGTGTGTGTGTGTGTGTGTGTGTGTGTGTGTGTGTGTGTGTGTATGTGTGTCTTGGTTATGTTTTTAATAAGCACGTATGCGGCACTGTGTATGTGCATGTTGCCCCGGAGTAAAGAAAACATGCGAGCAGTGAAGCGTATCTTCATAAAACAGCAAACGTCCCCCATTTTGTCTACCCGAGATAACTCTGCACTTCTTTCTCTGTGTCATTAACTACATTGTCGATATTTGTCAAAAACAGTTTTGAACACCTGTTTGTAAAACAACATTAAGATGAAATGGTTGAAGTCAACATGACATCATGGTCTGTCATTTCCCTCAGGAGTCCTCTGTCTAAATTGCTATGGCTGCTGCGTTTTGGAACCTTGAACGCCCGCACTCGGCCTTGCGGCTCTTCCTCCTATGCCTCAGCATGATTCCGCAAGCCAGGTAGGACAAAATGATCTCCTTTCAGACACTCTGTTCCACCGTGTGCATTTTACAGTCTTCCGTTCCCTCTGCCAGCTATTGTTTACCTGAGGTGTTTTATATCACGCCTCATTCATCAAGCTGACTGCTACAACTAGACCTTGTCATCGAGCCAACATATAAACTCACCCTACACATCATTAGGTACACCTGCACAATCTCATCAGATATATCAAATGAAAGGAATTCAATGATACTCAATGCTAGTCAAAAAGAAAGTGCAGATACATTTAAACAGACTGCCATGTTAGCTCATATTTTGTTTGCAATATTTCCCTGCAAGTCATTTTGCCAAATGAAGTCAACGTATTGACATTTGATTTCCGTAATATGTTTTGCTCACACTGTTCTCCGACTAATAGTTTGGAGAATTTCAATGTTGATTAAAACAGAAATCGCGCCACCTGATATTGAAGCAAGGTGAGCCTGCCCTCCCATCTAAATTGTGCACTCCATTGCACAGATCTACCGTACATTTTACTGACTGGTGAATTAATTTGCACTGTGCAGCACACCACAGCTGTGATTGTCCATTCACAGCATTTTTCGCTCCTGCTTCTTGTGCACATTTTTGAATGTGTGTACGTGTGTGTGTGTGTGTGTGTGTGTGTGTGTGTGTGTGTGTGTGTGTGTGTGTGTGTGTGGGTGTGTGGGTGTGTGTGTGTGTGTGGGTGTGTGTGTGTGTGTGTGTGTGTGTGTTAAGAGTCAGCTAAAAGAAAGACCACCCTTTGTGTCTAGGTGTCATTCTAATCATGCCCCTGTAATTTCATGGGAAGAGAATGTGCGCTGGTTGCCATGTTAGCATTGTTGGTAAGGCAGGATATTATAGCGCGGGGGGCGGGGGGGGGATAGCAAAATGTAAAGCGCTTTAGAGATTTTGAACGCTGAAGCAAAAGCTCACCAAGCTAATAAGAAGGCAGGCTGGGGAAAGAAATCAGAATAGTGTGAAGAAGAAGAAGAAGAAGAAGAAGAGGAAGAAGAAGAGGAAGAAGATCAGCCTCGTCTGCTTTGTGATTGTGCCACATGTTTCTGCCTAGTTATTCGGAGCAAGTTGTGTTGTAATGACTTGGTTACAATTTCAAAGGTATATCCCCATCATGCCATGTGATGAAATCATCTTGTATGGGAGATGCACACCATCGATATTGCTGATGATTTGTTGTTTCTTTGAAATGAATCAACTTGAATCGTTTGGGATTTGGAGAACTTTGACACGTTACTCACATGAATAAACATACTGTAGCCAATGCAACAGCCATACCATATTTAATCATAATCCCACTGAATTATATATGAATATATATATATCTATATATATTTATGTATATATATATTTGTTTATTTATTTTTTTCCTCCTTTTACAGAATTCCAGGATCCCCACTCTCAGCTTTTCTTGGTATTAAAAACTTGATGTGAGGGTGCGGCAAACGATTGGCAGTATCCATGACATTAATTATGGATAGCCATGTTATTCTTTATGGGAGCAGCATATTAATAACATACAGTATATGAAATGCTGACATCCTTCGGGGCCAAAAAAAAAATGTCACATTCCTTCCAGTGGAATCCAAGTAGGCAGTAGATTTTATTATTCATGGCCAGAGCACACCACTTTACAAAGACTTTCAGAAATGGGGATTTTCATATAATTACCTAAACCATAATCAAGTGCACACATTCCTTTCCCAGAAATGTCCACTGTCAATTTTTTTTGTGTTTTGTGCCTTAATAAAAAGAAATTGTAATTAACTAGCTCTTAAAGAAATAATGCATTGTGCTACTTGGCTGCAAACAGCCTGGGTGCTAGTGACACTGTCTTTACTACGTTGAAGTCAAGTAATACCGAATGTACGTAGTAATAGTCGTTTATATTTAAAATGTCGGCAAATCAGAACACAAAATGTCTCTGGATCAGGAGAGATTCCTCAGTCGGAGAGCTGCCACTTCCCCGGTGCCTTCTGATTCTATCATCAGAATCCAAATCGGCTTTAGTACAGTTGAGGAAGAAGACATTCCTGATGAATTACCACAAAGCTGACAAAACCCCTTTGGGGAACTGGCGTCCTGCAACTCGGCACGTTTTTCTTGCACATTCAAAAAGGAACCTGACATGCCAGATAGTTTGTTTTACAGAAACGCCTGGGACAGAATTGATAGAATCTGTTTGCAAAAGAATAGGCATGCCGCAAACAAACTTAGAAGGGAAGTGGACAAACGCTTCACCTGTCAAACGGGTCAATCAGATCAACATAGAGAAGAATAGGCTTGGGTGTGTCAATTGGATTCGCCAGTCAGGAAGAGTCCAAACTGATATTTTTTTTTTGAATCAAAAATGCTAACAGCTCATGTCTTTGGATGTGGGTTAACGATAAAACTGTTGTTAAATCTTCACGGGTGTCACCATTGTTAAAAACCACATCAAATAAAACCATAGCAGCTGCCTTGAGGACCTGACGGGTCCTCCTTGGCTGCATTCACATCTGTTCTCAGCTTGGAAAGATGCATTTGTAACATTACATCTGCATTAGCCATCTGCCTCACAAAAAGTTCATTTAAACTTGGAACAATATTATTCTCCGAAAACAATGTATGCATGACAAATCCTAAAAAAAATTTTAAAAAAATGCAATAAGGATGAGAATGCAATGTGTACACTTTCCCTGTGGATGGCTTGTAACATTGGCCAAACTTTTCACCTCGTCTTCCATGAATTATTCACCGAGCGGCAGCGAGGGGCAAGACTTTGCGAGGTGACCGGGTCGACAGATAACATTCTGTTTCGGCGCCGCCGTCAAGGTTAACGTGTCACGGGTCTTGAGAAGGGCAATGTATTCTCATAGCCTAGCCACTTTGCAGATTGAATGTATCAGGGAAACAGGTGCTACTTTGAACGATGGAGTGAAATGTGGGGGGGGGGGGGGGGGGGGGGGGACTGAGACGCGCGTCAGGACTGGCTCTTTTTCCCCACTCGGTAAATCAGAAAATGGATCCGAAAACACGCAGGCAGACAATTTCCGGGCTCGTCTCTCTCCACACGACACTTGAACGACTTTGGACGAGGGAGTAGGAGGGGGGGGGGGGGGGGTCGAGGTGAAACTAATGGTAAACATAGTTTATCACAGGTACTGTATATGGGTCAGACAGGAAGTATAATTTGTATGCTGCACGTACTTTTTCCAACGTGAAAACGTAATCATTTTGGTCGTTTTCTTTTTCACGAGATTTCCAATCTCTTCTGCACTCAGCCCCTTCTTATAATACAGTTATTTTGTTCAGTCTTAAAACCCTGGCAAAACTACAATGTTTCAAGGCTACGCATTAGTGCCAACATTTCAAATGACGTTACACTCGAGCGGATAGATAACTCCATTGTTTTCGTCGGATAGCTTGCTTCTCCAAAGAAATTGCTTCAGACAGGTGGCAAAAGGGAAACTGGAACGAATCAACAATTCTGCCAGCATCCAGTCACAAAGGATCACGCAAACACAACGTTTCAATTGTTATTCAGTGGGATTGAAGTCATTCTTCTGCTTTGGGGAGGCGTCTCAATGAATGTTATCGTGATCAACTTATAGGAAAAAGTACCACACTCTAAATGTAAACTGTACAAATTTTGTGTCATGTTATGTAATGAAATGAGTCGATCGAGCTACACACAAGCCCATGTTGTCACCATTCAGATCTCAAGTACAGTCCTTGTGCTGAGATTTTATTTGTAGAAAGAAAGCCAGGATTAATGAATTAATTTTAATGAATTAACTTCTCTGTCATTTTTTTCCACTCCACCTTCCAAGGGTATCACAACTATACGTGTGTAACATTTTCGGTATGTTTGCCATGTTGTTTTGTGTAATGTCTTTCCAGAGCTGTTGAATTTTGGGGATTTTTTTTTTTGCCCAGTTTTTGAGACAGATGGTTTTCGATGTGGATGTGCTGCATCCTGCTCCCCCCAAAAATTATTGATATTTTTGGTTTGATTAAACAGCATTAATGGAAAGTTTCTTTGCAAGTGAACACTCGCTTATCACCTACTCATCCAGCCCCCCCATTAAAGACTTTATGGTGTTAAATGCACTTGACCAGAGCCCAAACGCTGTCTGCATGGAAGGTCACTCAAATGCTATGAATGAAGCAGTATGGTTGAATACATGGCCGGAAAAAACACAGGTTGTGCAACCCGTGCTATTCTGGCTATAATGGAAACTTTTGATTCGATGGTAGAAAATATGACCTTAAATATGCTAATGTAGAGAAGATGTCTGTGTAATTGTGTATATCTGGTCGTCTATTTTGAACCGTCAGACTGCAAAACTGTAACGTTAAGAGAGTTGTGATCATTTATATCACACTACGTCAGAGAATAATACTTTTATATCATTTCAGCACATAAACATGTTTTTTGTGTTTTTGTCAGTAAAAAAAAAAAAAAATACTGTTGACATGTTGAACCATCCTGCATGAAAAATAATTACATCTTTACAGAGTCAGGGTTTTACGTCTCTTCATAGCATGGAGTATTCCAAAGCTTGCCGAAGTTATAAATGATCCCTTCATTGTTGCTGATGCAGTTGATAGCATCTCTGAAATCCCTGCAGATATGAGCGCTGTGTGTTGCGCCGTGGCTTGCTTCCAAAAATGCATCAGAGACTAGATTGATGTTACCTGCAATGATAGCACACATCTCAGATCCTATCTCGGTGTTTGATCATTTCCTGAGGTCGTACGAACGGCTTCTGGCTTTCATTTGTGGTGCCACATCCTCAAATTGCTATTCAGGTCCTCTTGTTGAACCGACACTAGGATTTTACAAAAAAAAAAATGTGTAAATGTAATTAGCATGTGACCATAACTTTAAAAAAAAAAAAAAAAAGCCCCAGCTGTGCAGTCAAATATCTGTGGTGCATAAAAGTTACCAAGCCACCAGAGACTTCTGTTTTGAAATAATAGGACACTCATTATA